GGCCCCCCCCCCCCCTACTGGGCACGTAATGCGTTGATCACGATGCTCCAGATACCTTCGTGATCGTCAATGCTTTATTTCGGGCTACCCACCCAAATTCGCTTGTATCGTTTGTCCGGCCGCTACTTAAGGGTACGCTATCTCTGACGCGGGAGACCCGTCTTCAGATCAACGTCGCATTTCCACTCTAGTAGAAGACACCCATAATCTACCGCAAGAGTGCTTCGTGTCGCCTTGCGGCTCGTGGTGAACCACCAAACAAGTTCGCCCCAACTTCCCCCTCCCCGGCAATGATCCCGTCCGCCTTTGAGGGTACGGGCATTAACCGATGCTCAATACGATGGGCACCCCTTCGTGCAACACCAACCCCCCCTTGGACCACACTCGATCATGTGCGTCGATGCGTGACTTCGACACCGGTAAACTCTAGTAGGGGTGGTGCAATGTTGGACGGTACATGCACGTGATGGTTTGCAAGCGCCAATTCCCACGACATGTTCCAGAATGAATTATGCGAATGGTCAAAGCGAGCAATGCTTTTGATCACTTTCTGCACGCTGGATTGGATGTTGTGTTATTGTTTCGCGTGTCTTCTTGACCCTGTACTGTTATCTATCCCTGATCAATCCACGATCAGTGTCCTTATTGTTCGTTGGTCTCTCTTCGATCGTGCACTTGATTCGTCGCAGGTCATCTTCCTCCCAGTACATGTCTTCCGTGCGACTCATGGTCGCGTGGAGTATCCTCTCCACAGTGCTCATCATTCGGGGCTGTGCTTGGCGAATGACAACAATGACTTGGTACCACTTTGTTCCTGCGATGGCTTTCGCCGTCGGCAGCTTCATCCTCAACATGAGCACCTTGGTGCACTGAGTATTCCAGCAATATCAGTGTCACTTGTTTGGTACGGTTGTCGACACGTTTGACAGCGTTGGTATGGGTGCTGTTAGTGTGCACTGCCGCCCTCACCGGTCTGTGGTGTTGAGACTTGGTGCTGTGTTATCCCAGGAACAGCAGATGAAAAAGGACCATGTCTTATATATTATCCGTCACGCAAGCCCCTCAGGCAAGTGCCGGGAGCACACCGCCGTGTGCTCACCCGGTGGGACCGCACTGGGACCCCAACCGCATACATACCCATCACACCCATACTCCCATACGCGTACCCCCCACAGAGGATGCACGGATCGGACTCATATCCAAGTACCACAAACAGCCCCCCTATTTGATACGATGTACGATCTTGCAACCCGTTACGCGCAATCAGCCAACACAGAAAAACACCCCTTGAGAAAACTTACTCAACAATACGGGCTACACATTCAACACAACGCGTCTCCAGCAGTTTATTCACGAATCAAACGCGTTTGTCTCTGGAACTAATGTTAAATATTTAACACCAAAGAATCATCCTCAGCAAGGTACCCAACACTTATTTGTGCTACATGAGAAAGGCGTCGGAGCGAAAACGGATATTTCTGGAACAACAACTTTGCAAGAGTTGGCACCAAATCCTCAAACAAAAAAAAAAACTCAACTTCTTGACCAATCAAAACGAGAATTCGGATTGCACAACGGCCCCAACCATTAATCGTCAAAACATGTCAAATCCTGTCTCCAATACAGCGTCCAAGGACCAAATCCTAAACAGCGCGCACCCGCTAATCGGTACCGTCGCTGTTGTCCAAGAAACGATCGAAAACGTAACCAAGCATCCACGCAAACAGCCCCCCTGCTGTCAGCTCCCAAAATTTCCCCCGAGCTAATATTTCGACGCCAACAGCGCCCTTGCTTTGCCGTTCACCTAACACACAAGTAGGCGCGACCAGAAAAACCAATTCGATTGCTGCTTAAGCCCTCTAGAATCATGGTCATACATGACATCATGACATCCCCCCCCATGATTTTCGGTGCAAGAGCAGCAAAACATGCGACACAAACCAGAACATGAAAACACGTAACACACAAGGCATCAAACAAACTCCAGAAAAAGTTCGTACCGTATGCAACCTGTCTCCTCAACTGGAACTCCGAAAGCCCCCCTGCTCCCTGAACGGTATGCCTTCATGCATGTTTGCGCGATCATCCCACTTCGTGCGCGCGGCCAGAAACACACCGCAGAGACCGACCACTTAACTCAGGACCTCACATGAAAACCAACGTATCGAAACATTCCAAGTGCAAGGTGTCCAGTTAGTTCGTAGAAACAAAAAAAATCGACTGAACGTACTCCCTCCAAAGAATACGGGAATAGTATGAAGCATTCAGCTGCAAGGTTATAACGCGACTGAAAATATACCAAGAACCAAGGAAAAAAAAATACCCACGTGCTGCTTCCTATTCCACAGGTTGTGGCAATGATTATCTTGTCGCAGCGTACAATTATTATCATGAAACGTGGGAAAGAGGGTTTCGTCCTCGACAGACGTTGGGGAGTTTCAACCTTTATGAAGGTGTTCTCCACATTAACCCCCCCTTTTTCGAGGTTTCTTCTTGTTTGCTAGGCAAGAGAAGTCTTCTTGGGGTAACCGGAACCCGACCGGGTGGCGGCGAGTAGATCCCCCCTTTTTTTCCAACAATCGTTTGTGCGTGTGTGCGGGTGCACCACTTCCGCCACGCATTGCCAAAGGTTTCGAGCTCGATAGAAAATGCATCGTTTCTTGGCCCACTCACCGTTTTTCTTTTTTGTTTCCAGAAGAAAATTAGGTGAGCAGCGGATTTGGAACCCGTGTTTTTTGCAACCAAAAGCAGATGCCTGACATCTCTTCGTCGACGCCATTGTGGAAAAGAGGGCTTCGTCCTTGAAAGACGTCGGTAGTTTCAACCTTTATGAAGGTGTTCTCCACAAAACCAAGTAAAAAAAAAAAAAATTAAGCACACGCCGTGGCATACACGTGTTTTCTGCATCAAAGTGCACGGTGCGCTAGCAAGAACATACCAAGAACCAAGGAAAATAAAATACCCACGTGCTGCTTCCTATTCCACAGGTTGTGGCAATGATAATCTTGTCGCAGCGTACAATTATTATCATGAAACAAAGTTAAGAAAATCAAAATACCGCACACGCCGTGGCATACACGTGTTTTCTGCATCAAAGTGCACGGTGCGCTAGCAAGGGAAAAACAGAACAAAAAAATAAATGCGAAGCCAAATGGCGAAGCTAAAANACCGCACACGCCATGGCATACACGTGTTTTCTGCATCAAAGTGCACGGTGCGCTAGCAAGGGAAAAACAGAACAAAAAAATAAATGCGAAGCCAAATGGCGAAGCTAAAACGTACATGCCTGATCACAAACCCGGACAAAGTCGTAAACGATTCACATGTTCTCCCACTTGGCTGTAACAAGGTGAGGTCGTCGCTGTCACCGTGTCCTCCCCGTTCCCGGTCGACTCGAGGGCGCCACCGCTGCTGCTGGCGCTGCCATCGCCGCCGTTGCCGTTCCCCCGCCGCCACCCGTCATGAGTTCCAGCGCCAACACGGCTGCTGGTGACGTCGCTGCTGCCGCCTCTACCACCGCCGCCGTTGTCGCCGCTGCCGCCGACGAGGTTCTGGCCGAAGCCGCCGCTGCTGTCTGCAGCTGCCGTCGGAGCTCTGGCCGAAGCCACCGTTTACGTCGCTGCTCCTGCTGCCGCCGGTGTCGCCGCCGGAGCTCTGGCCGAAGCCTCCACTCTCGTCGCTGCTGCGGCTGCCGCCGTTACCGCCGCCGGAGCTGCCACTCCCGTTCCTGCCCCTATCGAAGGGGTACGCAACCCCTGGTACCGCCCCCCGTCTCCTCGCGCCACGCGAAGATGTCTTTTTCCGGGGTCGAAAGGGTGCGTCGGCGCTCCACTCCAGGTTTCATCCAGTCCCTCATCCCCGCTCCCATCGCCGGGGCTCCACTCCAGATGTCATCCGACCCCTCGCCCCCGCTCCCATCGCCGCTGCTGTCCTCGCTGCTGCAGCTGCTGCTACTGCTGCTGCTGCTGCTGCTGTTGCTCACGTCCACCCCAGCACATTGGCTATCGAGCTCCTCCAAGACTGGCAACAACGTCGTTGTCGCATCAACCGCTTCCTCCAACTCTTCGTTACATACCTCCGTCACCGGCGACCCCGCCGCCGCCACCCTTGCGGCCGTCTGGACACCCGACGCCAACGCGGCGACCGGGGACGCCGCTGCTGCTGTCGCCGCTGCCGTCCCCTCCCGTCACCGATGTCGCTACCGCCGCCGCTGCAGCCGTCTGGATAC